ATTCGGTCCCATTCCGAACTGCCCAAGACTATTTTCCACGCCATGATGGATTCGACTGGCATGATATGCTGCGGCTATCTCATTTTATATCCCAAATGCTGTGTGACGGCTGAAAGTGGTGACGGCTGATGGATGACGGTCCAGGGATGGGATTGGCTGTGAATGGACCACTCTTTTTCCATTCCTTTGGCAGTTTTGGCTTGTCAGGACTCAGGACTCAGGAACGAGATTAATCGGTAGATTTTTTATACCGAGTAATAAAGGAAGATTGATACAATAGCGAGAATAGTAGGAGAAGGCAGATCTTGGTATGAGTATTGGTATGTATTGATATTGGCATTGATACTCGCATGTTCGTATAGCCGTATCCGGATTCCGCATCCGCATGTGCATCCACCATCCACCATCCATTTTCCTTTTTCATTCTAGGTTTCTCTTGACTCTTGACTCTTGACTCTTGAGTCTCTTCTCATCCCTTCCTCTCTCACACACAGACTCTTGTGTTACTGTGTATTAATGAATTCTCGACTGATTGGTGACATGCTCCATTGTTTATATTCGTATCGGTCGGATTTGATGACATCCATGGATTTCCCTGGAATCTATCTTCTCTTCACTCGTAGCCCATTCCTTACTTTATTACTCATCTACTCATCTACTCATCTACTCATCTACTCATACTCAGACATTCAGACACTTACCATTCACTCCTCACTCCTCACTCCTCACCCCTCACCCCTCACTTAACCTTTGTTTCATCACCGCCCTTACCACTTCGTTGATGAAGAGGGCGAAATTCCATCTCTTCCTTATCTCCTCACATCATACGACGACAGCAGGGCTTTTCGTTTCGAAATTCGAAGCTATTCACACCAATGTCCTGCTGAACCCTGCAGCGATTCTGACTCCGTTTTATTTACGACGAGGCTTCGTTTCCTATTTGGATGGAATTTTATATTGATTGCAATTTATCTGATTCATTCTTCATAACTTTCGCGCTCAAGAGAAAGAAAGGATCCACTTTCCATCTACTTTCCATCCACCCTTCCACCATCCAAATTTCAACCATCGGTACCAACATCTCAAATTGGTCTTTCGTCTAGACTGGTTCGGGTCGATCCACCAAAACCTTCGAAAAAGGAATCCCCGCAGCGCATACCAAGACTCAAGCCAAAAATATACCCAGCACATACATAATAGTGCGCCAGGTACATCAACCCTTTGTCGCCGCAATCTTTCGTTTGTCTTGATCGTCTTGGTCTTATTACCTTCTCGAGATCTTCGTTCGTTTCTTGAACAAAGTCCTCTTTTTATTTTATTCACTCTTTCACTCTCGGATTTATTTTGAGATATTGCTTTCATAAGTCCTGGAGACTAATTCTTTGATTTACCAATCATTCTCCATTCACATTCATTATTACAATCAACTGAACAAATTCCGCCATTCATTCCTTTCTATTTTGGATCTTGAATCACTCTTTTTATATTCAGGAACAAAGCAACATTTCGTCCCTCACAGCATGTCCCTTATTGAAAATTACATTACTTTGTTCCCAGACCAAGAACAATAGATAAAGATTAGCGACACATCAACAGAAGAACAATCGGACAATAAGCCTCGAATTTTATCGTAAGTAAAGACCTCTCGCACCTCGATGGGACCTTCAAATATCGAATCTCGAATCCCATAGACCCAACGACCATATACCAACCCGATTTACTTACCAACCAACAGCTTCTACAGAGACTCACATAGAAGGACGTCCACGTTGTTTCAAACCAACAATAAAGACTTCTTCTACATTCGTTTCAAATACAGCAAAACGAAAACTAAAGTATATCGACATGGAGTCCCTCGATCTTCTGCGCAGGGCCGCAGCTGAAGCGACCACCGCAACCACCACAAATTTACAACATGCAACCACGACAGAAGCAGCTGCAACACCAAGTAACACGATAGGAATGTACGCCACCGATTTGAATGGAGTAAACCAATCTATCAACGATCTGCTACGAGATGTTTTATGGTGGTGCTTAGGAATAATGGCTTTGATCATCCTTGTCTTTAGAATGATGCATCGAGCAAAGTCACATTTGCGACACATGACAGGGATGAATAGTAACGCGAATCAACAAAGATATTTTCAGGAAAATAGATCGAGTTGGTGGAAGGTCAAGAAGCATTTATTGTATGCGCCGCTATGGAATAAACGTCACAACAGAGAATTCAAGTTGTCGTCAGCTGTCAACATGGGAACCCTCCCATCAAGATGGCATGCACTACTGTTGATCGTTTACCTTTCCATGAACGTTGCCTATACCCTTGTTCTTGATTACAGCAGAGAAAACAAATTTTCTATCGTAGCTGAGCTCCGAGGAAGATCTGGTGTTCTCGCTGTGTGTAACATGATCGCACTCATCATTCTTGCCGGACGCAACAACCCCCTCATCGGATGGCTTCAAATCAGTTTTGATACCTACAACTTATTGCATCGATGGATGGGAAGGATCGTCGTCTTGGAGGCTCTTGTACATACGTCATGTTGGGCATATGTACAACATGCAGACACCGGTTTCTCTGGTGTTTGGGAAAAGCTTTTGCACGATCCATTCTGTTCTTACGGAATGATGGGCACTGCTGCCTTTGTCCTCATTCTCCTCACATCCCCATCCCCAATTCGTCACGCCTTTTACGAAACCTTCCTCAATCTTCACATCATCTTCGCTGCCGTAGCCATCGCCGGTGTTTGGATTCATTGCGATATCCCAAGTCTTCCCCAGAAACCTTACATCCGCGCCGTCGCCTTCCTCTGGGTTGCTGATCGTGTATTCAGATTGGCTCGTCTTATCTGGTGCAATTACAGTACCAAAGGCTGGACCACTGCCTCCATCGAAGCCATGCCTGGAGATGCTTGCCGTGTCACTATGCACCTACCAAAGAAACTCGATGTCAAACCTGGATCTCACGCCTATCTTCGTTTCGCCAAACTCAACTTCTGGGAGTCGCATCCCTTCTCCATCGCTTGGGTGGCCCATCGTCCAAAGTTCTCCCCTGAACTTCCACTCAACGAAAAGAGAATGGTTTCCGAAGAACAAACAACCGATATCAGCTTTGTCATTCATGCGCAAACTGGTTTGACCCGTCGTCTCTTCGATGCAGCTAAAGTTGCCAGTCCACGTGTTCTCACACTCAAGGCTGCATTCGAAGGACCCTATGCTGGACACCACTCTCTTGATTCTTACGGCCACGCGGTCCTCTTCGCCGGATCCTCCGGAATCACGCATCAGATTCCCTACGTTCAACACCTTATCCAAGGCTACAGCGATGGTACCATCGCCACTAAAAAGGTCCTACTCGTTTGGATCATCCGTGACGTCGAACATCTTGAATGGGTGCGACCTTGGATGGACGAAATCCTACGCATGCAAGGACGTCGCGACATTCTCACCATCAAGTTGTTTGTCACGAAACCTAAGAACCCAAAGGAGATCCATTCTCCGAGCGCGACAGTCCAAATGTTGCCCGGTAGACCTAACATTAACCTGTTGTTACAGACTGAAGTTAGGGAACAAGTAGGCGCCATGTGCGTTACCGTTTGTGGACCAGGAGCATTGCAAGACAGCATCAGAGAAGCAGTGAGAGAAGTCCAAGAACATGGGGTGGTGGATTTTATCGAGGAGAGTTTTACTTGGTAATGCGGAGAATGATTCTTAGGGACACATTCCCACATACGTTTTAAAGATGCTAAGAAGAGCAACCCAAGAAAGGATTACACAACCCAAGAGATGGCAAGTCGAGTGGTGCAGAATGAGTGGATGGTCAATAATATTTTCTTCTTCGATTTTCGGACATAATTAATACTTTTGATGGGAGAGAGCTTTGTATTATACTACCGGACCAGACCACGCCTGCGCTTTGTATATAGATCATATTATGATTGCACGAGAGAAAGAAGAGAGATGGTAGAAGGAAGACTGGATTCGCTTTTAGCGGGGAGTTTGTTACATTGGGATATCCAGAATTGGCATTAAGGGATTGGACTACTCGTTCATAGGATAAGAAAGGTAGTCGGCCAGAGATAGTTGTCTTTTTGATATAATTGAAATATTTAAACTATTCATGATATTGTGATTTGTGATTTAGTGATTGGTGATTCTGATTGTGATGTTGTGTTATATGATATTGTGATAGCAGATATCTAAGTAGTAGTAGATATTTACATCTAGGGTGGTACTTACTGTGTGCCAACCTAGGATATTTCCATGATTGATTGGCGCTATGCATCCACGCCCTGCAAAAATGAAGTCATGTCATACATGCATAGAGCAAGTTCCAATACTAGGAATATTAGTCGGTTAATAAATGAAGCTCCGTTGATCTACCGGGTGCCATTGCTATGGAGGCTAACTATTTTGGAAATTTAAAGATGTATCTTTCAAACTTTGAATATCTCCGTTGATATATATATATATATATATGCATATATAGAATTGTATGAGTAGCTACCTAGTAGGTAGTTGAGTAGAATTGTCGTTATTCATAGATCCATTACTAGTATAATATAAAATAATATAATATATCGAATCAAGAACCGAGACTTTCCGTGTAACACTGGGTCTGAAAGTAACAGAAAGTAACAAAGAGCAACGGTTAAATCTAGGTATAATTACGGGCGTAGAATTGATTGGTTGAGTCACAGAATTTCCCCTCGCCCCGCGATCGGCTTAACAAAATTTATTCGAAATAGCGTCACTTTCGATTGGTTTGAGTGAGTCTTCGATAATTCCATGATTGGTGACTCAATTATTTACTTTGACAATTCTTATAAATTCCCATCTATCTCGTCTGATTTATTCTCTGTATCAAATCATCTCAATAACATTGCTTTTCTGATCATCTTTTCAAACCCGCAAGCTTAAACCAATTTTCAATCACAAAGCGGAAACTTCTTGAAAGTAAAAAGTTAATCCATCAGATATAACCCCGCGATTTGGTCAAAATGCCCATGTAAGCTATTACTTCACACAAGTCACAGTGAACTCTTCAATGTCTCGAATATAATTCTAATTTCTGGTTTCTTCATAGGCTTAAAGATCCCTCGACGAAATACAAGAGATTTCCTCCTATTCAATTGGCGGACAGACAATGGCCTTCCAAAACCATCGATAAACCTCCAAGATGGCTCAGCACAGATTTGCGAGATGGCAACCAAAGTTTAGTCGACCCTATGGATGGTGAACAAAAATGGAAATACTTTAAGATGTTGGTAGAGCTTGGTTACAAGGAAATTGAAGTCTCATTCCCATCCGCTTCGCAAACAGATTTCGATTTCACCAGGCGCCTTGTTGAAACTCCCGGTGTCGTACCAGATGATGTCTGGCTCCAAGTTCTCTCACCATGTCGTGAAGAATTCATGAAGCGAACCGTTGACTCCCTCAAGGGAGCCAAGAAGGCTATTCTACATATTTACCTTGCTACCAGCGAATGCTTCCAGAGAATTGTATTTGGCTTGAATGAGGAAGAAGGTTTGGCATTGGCAGTCAAGTGCGCAAAATATGCTCGATCCATTACAAAGGACGATCCCGAACACGCCGGTACTGAGTGGGCTTTCGAATTCAGTCCTGAAACTTTTTCGGATACTAATCCAGACTATGCGATCCGGGTGTGTGAGGCAGTCAAGGAGGCATGGGGTCCGACAGTAGAGAATCCAATCATCTTCAATCTCCCCGCAACAGTCGAAATGTCAACTCCAAATGTCTACGCAGATCAGATCGAATACTTCTGCAGAAATATAACAGAGAGAGAAAAGATTTGCGTCAGCTTACATCCACATAATGACCGAGGATGTGCTGTTGCAGCTGCAGAGTTGGCACAAATGGCTGGTGCTGACAGAGTTGAGGGTTGTTTATTCGGAAACGGAGAGAGAACAGGAAATGTGGATTTGGTCACTTTGGCTTTGAACCTCTACACTCAAGGCATCAACCCTGGTATTGATTTCTCGGATCTTGAGCGGGTCATTGATGTTGTGGAAATTAGCAATAAGATTCCAGTTCACCCAAGAGCTCCTTACGGTGGTTCCTTGGTTGTGTGTGCGTTCAGTGGCTCTCACCAAGACGCAATCAAGAAGGGTTTCCAACTCCGAAAGAAGGGAAATCACGGAGACGAGAACCGCTGGGAGGTACCGTATCTTCCACTCGATCCTCAGGACATTGGACGTACTTACGAAGCTGTGATCCGTGTCAATTCACAGAGTGGTAAGGGTGGAGCTGCTTGGATTATCTTGAGAAACCTTGAGCTTGATCTCCCAAGAGGATTACAAGTTGCTTTCAGCAAAGTAGTTCAAAAGCGTGCGGATGAACTTAGCCGCGAGCTTCTCTCACGGGAAATTCAAGACTTGTTCGAGCAAACTTACTACCTCAAGCACAATCCAAGATTCAGCCTTGTCGATTACTCTATCAGTACCGACAGAAGTGCCTCACCCGTGCCACCCGCTCCAGGCAAGACACAAGATACGACAAATTTGAAGCGTCGATTCGAAGGTGTCATTTCAATTGACGGACAGGAACACGAATTGAAAGGATTAGGAAATGGACCCATTTCTAGTTTGGCAAATGCTTTGAAGAGCTTAGGTATTGATCTCGAGGTAGTAGATTACAAGGAGCATGCAGTTGGTGCCGGTACAAATGTCAAGGCTGCGTCTTACATCGAATGTACAGCTACAGGCTCTAAGCAGAAAGTATGGGGTGTTGGAGTTCACGAGGATGTTGTTCAATCGTCTTTGATTGCTCTTTTGAGTGCAGCTTCAAATGTAAGTCACCTAGCATCATTACTTGATTCAAAAATATCTAACACCATTACAGTTCATGGCAAGCAGACCTACAACACCATTACTCCTCAAGGGTAAGAATGGTGTGAGCACCAGCCGTGACGTTAATGTCGACGACTCACAAAAAGAGAACGGCGGCCTTGCAATTCCTAAACCTACCACCGCAGCAAAGAGTGGACCGGATGCAGTGAGTGTCTTGGAGGCTAAGGTCAATGAAGCATAAATTGTTTATTACTTATTTTTTTCGTTGTTCTTGGTCTCTCTTAAAGCTGCTTTCGTAGTTAAAATGAGGGGTAGCTTTTAGCGCGCCTTCTTCTGGGATGGGGTTCATGGAGGGGATATATCATCTGGAAAAGCGATCAAAAAGTGCATTTGTAATGAAATTTGAAATGAAAATGATGGGAAATTTGGAAATAAAATGATGATTATCAGAAGAGATACCTATCTCAATAAAAAAGAGTTCTTTCTATGATTTGCCTCTTTATAAGCAAGTAGATATACAGCAATCTTATACTCGAGGAATCAATAGAGCAAGTCATAAGTGGCTTTGTGTATATATCAATTTTATTTATATACCTACCTAGGCTCACTCTGGACGGAAAAACGGGCACACCAAAGCCACTAAAATCAAGACTTTCTTCAAAACACTATTAATTCAAAATTCAATAATAATTTGAAATAATATAGTAAATTAGATATAATAAAATCATATTATAGAATATCAACTTATAAATAATCTGCTTCAAACAAAAATTAAAAATATCGATTATTGATTTAAAAAATGAATTTCGGAAGTGATAACATATTTTTGGTGTGCCCGTTTTTCCGTCCAGAGTGAGCTAGGTATCTACCGGTATATTTATTGAATTGAATTGATGATTTCTTATCCACGCTCCCACGTCCGGAGATTTCCATGTGAGATTGACCAAATCACGTGAATTGCTGAGTAAAGACCTAAACGAACCAATTATACAACTCATGGCGGGGACACCGCTCCATTAATGATCAAGTATGAAATTTGACTTTGTTGACTTTGGACATCAATTTCTAAACAATCCAGAGACCATTTAAAAAAATTCTCTCTATTGACAAGAACTATTGATTCTTTACATTCATTTACTCAATAATACAAACAAGACCAAAGAGAGGCTATTAAGCTCTTTACAATTTTATAATCTTTCTTCTTTAGACAGTTCCAGTGACTACAGTTCTGGTGTCTAGGTATCTAGCAAAGAATCGGCCTTGTCAATATTACACCCAAGTCAACATCGCTTTCTTCAACAACCGCAAATTCCACCTGCGATCAACAACCCCCCCAGTTGATTTCCTCCAACCACCTTGTCGCACATCAAATAACCAGGCATATTGCAGAGAGAGAGAAATAACTCTTCTGCAATAATACAAACATCTACAAATACCCTTTAAAACTCGGGAATATCGCAAAGATGGACGTTGGTTCTGTCTTGCTCAATTCCTTGGCAGCAGGTCAGTACTTCCCCTCTATCCACCAAACTTGTCTCAAAGGTGAACAGACCTTGCACTTCTATGGTACTAACTATCAATAGACAATGCTACTCGTATTGCTGCTGAACAACAGCTTACCCAAGCTGCTGAAGCCAACTTTGTGAGTTCCCCCACACAGCCTTGACCGCACTGTCGATGAGCTTCCATGACATTCTTTTTACTGACTTTTTCTTCCGTCAATGTAGTCAGGATATCTTGTCACACTCGTAGAGCAGTTGGCAAATGAAGAATCACAGGGTTCCATTCGAGCTGCTGCTGGTATCGCCCTTAAGAATGCCTTCACAGCCCGCGAATATGCTCTGCAACGAGAATTACAAGAGAAATGGCTACAGGTCGACCCAGATACCAGGAAGCGTGTGAAGGATCTGACCCTTCAAGCTTTATCCTCAAACAACAACCAAGCCGGTCAAACAGCTGCGCAAGTCATATCCTCGATAGCAACCATCGAACTGCCTAGAGATCAATGGCCAGAGCTTATGCCCGCCTTGGTGCGAAATGTGGGTGAGGGTACCGATCATCTTAAGCAGGCTTCCTTGACTACTCTCGGATTCATTTGCGAAACTCAAGATGCGGAATTAAGACAAAGTCTCGTACAACATTCCAATGCTATCTTAACAGCAGTCGTCCAAGGTGCCCGAAAGGAAGAAGCAAATTTGGAAGTACGACTAGCAGCTATCGATGCTCTTGGCAATTCATTGGAGTTTGTGGATAGCAACTTCAAGAATGAAGGCGAGCGAAATTACATTATGCAGGTTATCTGCGAGGCCACACAAGCAACCGACTCTAGGATACAACAGGGAGCTTTTGGATGTCTGAACAGAATTATGTCATTGTATTATGACTTGATGCGCTTCTACATGGAGAAGGCTCTCTTCGGACTCACAATCATGGGAATGAAAAGCGAAGAGGAAGATGTGGCCAAGCTTGCTGTCGAATTCTGGAGCACAGTATGCGAAGAGGAAATCGCCATTGAAGATGACAATGCTCAGGTAAGATTTCAATACCAAAATCTAGTAAAGAATGTTGCTGACAAAACGAATAGGTCGAAGAGGTTTCTTTGATGCGTCCGTTCTACAATTTCAGCAAGGTTGCAACTAATGAGGTTGTCCCTGTTCTCTTGATGCTGTTGACAAAGCAAGACGAGGATGCTGCTGATGATGAATATAACATCTCCCGTGCCGCATACCAATGTTTACAACTTTACGCACAAGCTGTTGGTGGTTTGATCATTCAACCAGTTTTGAGCTTCGTTGAACAAAAGCTTCGTGGAGAGGATTGGCACGATCGTGATGCTGCTGTCTCCGCCTTTGGTGCCATCATGGAAGGCCCGGATGAAAAGACCCTCGAGCCAATCGTCAAGCAAGCACTGCCAGTCATCATCAGCATGATGGAGGACAAATCTATTCACGTCAAGGACTCGGCAGCTTATGCTCTTGGTCGTATCACTGAAGCTTGCTCAGAGGCTATCGATCCAACCAACCATTTACCAAAATTGATTGCATCCTTGTTCGAAGGTCTTATCAGCAGTCCTAAGATGGCAGGTTCGTGCTGTTGGGCATTGATGAACCTTGCTGAGCGCTTCTCCGGGGATATTGGATGCCAGGAGAACCCTATCTCTCCTCACTTCAATGAGAGCATCTCCAGACTTCTTCAAGTTACTGAGAGAACCGACGCCGACAACGCTTTGAGAACCGCTGCATACGAAGTTCTCAACACCTTCGTCATGAATGCTGCAAATGATAGTCTTCCATCCGTTGGTCAACTCTCCGAGGTCATCATCAAGAGATTGGAAAACACTCTTCCTCTTCAATCTCAAGTAGTCAGTGTTGAAGACAGAATCACTCTCGAGGAGATGCAAGTCAGCTTGTGCACTGTCTTGTTGGCTATCATTCAACGTCTCGAGAAGGAGGTCACTCCTCAAGCTGACAGAATCATGACTGTCTTGCTTCAAATCCTCACCGCAGCCACACCTAAATCGATTGTGCCTGATGCGGTTTTCGCCACTGTCAGCAGTTTGGCCAATGCACTTGAAGAAGGTTTCGCCAACTACATGGAGCACTTTGCTCCCTTCCTTTACAATGCTCTCGGTAACCAGGAGGAGCCAAGTTTGTGCTCCATGGCTATTGGTCTCGTCAGTGATATTACTCGCTCGATGGGCCCACCATGCCAACCATATTGTGACGCATTTATGAACTATTTATTGAGCAATTTAAGGGTATGTTTTGAAGAATCAAAAGTCTTGCCTTTCGTAGATTGGCGCCCATCCCCCAATCATCTCACCGCAATAGCAAATCTAACAAATAAACAGAGTACCGCACTCGCCAACCAATTCAAGCCTGCCATCCTTCAATGTTTTGGAGATATCGCAGGTGCTATTGGTGGTCACTTTGAGACATACTTGTCTGTTGTTGCTCAAGTTCTTCAACAGGCTGCCAATGTTCAAGCTAGCCCCGACGGAACATATGAGATGTTCGATTATGTCATCTCTTTGAGAGAAGGTATCATGGATGCTTGGGGTGGCATCATTGGTGCTATGAAGATGGATAACAAGAGTAAGTCATAGAATCCACCTTAGGGAACTAATTAATTAATACCATGTAGATGACCAGCTACGCCCTTACGTTGAATCAATTTTTGGCCTTCTCAATACCATTTGGGTCGATCAACACCGAAGTGATGCTCTTATGAGATCAGCTATGGGTGTCATTGGGTATGTGCTCGAAACTACATTCCCGTTATTTGACTCACGTGTACTAACGAACTTAGTGATCTTGCCGATGCTTTCCCCAATGGAGAATATGCCTCGTATTACCGTGCTGACTGGGTCATGTCAATGATCAAGGAGACCAAGTCTAACAGAGAATTCCAGACCAGAACCATCGATACCGCACGTTGGGCTCGTGAGCAAGTTAAGCGCCAAACAGGTGGTAGCTCAGGGACCATTCAAACTTGATCGAACCCCTAAACGGTCAAACGCGTCCTTTTACAACTTTTAATGTCCGTTCCTAGGGCCGGCGCATGAATTTTTGATAGAGCTCAACGAATGTGTTCCTCGTTCTTTTTTTTTATGATTTCTCTTTTCTTTTTGCAACGTCTGGTCATTACAGAGGGGTATTGTCCTCGGCCTACGTCGATCTGTTTGTTCCATCATATTTTTTACATCGCGTCGAATCCACAGAACCTGTCTGTCCATTCGTTTGTCCATCAATCATCGAATGGTTCCTTTGCCATAGTCACACTCACCTATAACGACAACGGAAACCCATGTCACTCGATATGATAAATGAGGAACCTTTGATTTGCACACTCCATTTGTTCAGCACCAACATCACCACCACAGCACTATCAGCACATTACTCTGTACAAATAGATTCACTTATTCCTAACAGAATAACTTTGTCCCCTTATCTCGCGCCAATACCCTTTACATCATCACGTTTCTGTCGCGCCTTTTCTGCTGGTTTTGAGCGAAGAATGCATGCCGGGTTTTTGATTTATTTCTAAGGTTTCTGATGGATGACGATATTGACGATGGAATGGATGATGAGAAGAAATATGATGTGCACGGGATGGATCAATTGCTTTCGCCGAAAAATCTTGTATTGTGGGTAGGAGGATGGGCGGTTGGATTGTTGGGTAATGGAAATGGGTGGATGCCGGACGCAATTAACGAACGTGACGGCTGGATGGGGAGTGGAA